AGCTTAAAGAAGGCCTTAATTAATTAAAGGCCATTTTAATGGCCTGTACGGCACTATTCATTAACTTCCTGTATGATACTTTATCAAAGTAACAAGGTTATATCTCCGATTCAGTCCCTCAACTTTCATTTTTAAACTAAAACTACCCTCGAACTTCAAAAAGTACTAAAAAAATCCTTGAACTTCAATTTTTGGGACCAATTTAGTCCTTCCGTCAGTTAAGTGCTGACATGGCAACATTTCCCGTTAACAAATTCAATTTTTATTAATATTAAATATTACTTGGAAATAAAATGAGTGATGTGGCATTTTTAATTATAAAAATTTGGTGACTTGGCACAAAAAATATGATTTAATAAATAAATTTTTTTTTTCTTTCCTTTCCTTTCTTTTTCTCCTTCTCTTTCCTTTTCTCCTTCCCCTCCTCTACTGGGTTCGAAGGAACCTAGCACCAACGCCTGGGTTCCTCGAACCCAGGCGCGAGTCGAGGCACCTGGCGTGCTGGGTTCCTCGAACCCAGGCCTGGGTTCCTTCGAACCCAGCACGCCTGGGTTTGAGTCGAACTCGCCTGGGTTTTTTTTGTTCTGTTTCTTTATTGGCTTGCAGTCATGCTTGAATGGGATTTAGAGTTTGGTGTGGTTTCTGATTGCTTGAATTTCCAGATCTAGTTACTGTTGATGTTGATTGAAGGAATGTGGTGTTTTTTCCATTTTTCTTTGCAGATCTGGTATACATTTGTATAGGAATTGATTTTTTGAATCAGATTTATTGAGTTCTATTAGGGAGGAGGTTTGGGGAAGAAGTAGATGGTGATTGGAGTGGTAATAGATGATCGGAGCAATGAGGGATGACCGGAGTAACGAGGGATGACGTGGACTAGTTATTTTCCACGTAATTAAAGATTTCAAACAAGAATTGATTTTGTGGCAACTTAACGTGCCATCTGTCATTTTCGTCGACCGAAGGACGAAATTGGTCCCAAAAATTGAAGTTCAAGGATTTTTTTAGTACTTTTTGAAGTTCGAAGGTAGTTTTAGTTCAAAAATGAAAGTTGAGGCACTGAATCGAGGATATAACCAAGTAACAAAAGATAGTCTTTTCCTATTATAATTCATTGATGACTACTACAGTTCAAAAGAGCTATCGGTGGAATACACCTTGATTAGTGGTCGAATCTTGTCAAAGAGTAAAATACTAATTTCTAACTCTTAACTCTTAACTATTGTTTCTGTCAAAAAAAAAAAAAAGAAAAAAGAAAAAAAAAAAAAAGAAAGTAACAAAAGATGCCTTTAAGATAGTCTTGTTTTCATTAGCACTGGTTGCTTTATGTGAATATTGTAATTAGGAATCGTAACTCC